GTCTGAAGGCAGATGACTAAATTGCCTAGTGAACACACTCAAGGGGACTTGTTTAAAAAAAGTTTCAAGGCATTTGGTCAAGACACTCAGAAGATATTCACTATTCGGTCCGCGCCAAGGCACAAGGGATATGTGGACTTTGCTGCTCTGTAAAATTAACCTCCGCCCTATACAAGCACAGAGGCCTTTATAGGGCCTCAAAAACTAAAAAATTTCTTCAGCCCGCCCAGCGCCCGATACGAATCAAAAAATTTCACTCCCGCCCTATAAAGCCCGCACAGCGCCCGATATGGGCCAAAATTTTACCCCCGCCCTATAAAGCCCGCACAGCGCCCGATACGGGCCGAAAAATTTTACCCCCGCCCCATAAAGCCCGCACAGCGCCCGATACGGGTCAAAAAATTTCACTCCCGCCCTATACATGCACAGAGGCCCTTATCGGGCCTCAAAAACACCATTTTTTTCCGGGCGCTTCGCGCCCCATTGCCCGATAGCAGCCCGAATAGGGCCCGTAGGGCTTTTGGTGGTGCGCCCAGTAACTTACTGCGGAGTACCCCCCCCCATCGCCCCAGTAATTACTGGGCTTATGTGGACATGACAGGTGCCATCAACCGGCTAATAGGCGACAGGGCCTGGCTCGTGGCACGTGTTGTTGACATTGGACATCTGTTAGACAACTTATTGCGTCAATGAAAATCGAGCCCTTCCAGAATAATATAAGTAGCACCAGAGCCACCACATTATGTATATACCACTGTTGCAAATAGAGAAAGAGGAGAGCAACGTTGAAAAAATCTCGGGCTCCTCAAAGTTCGAACTGTGTTCACGGCCGGCGCCAAGATGGTACGTACAACCCATTTGTCAACTCGAACCGAACAAGATTGTAGGCCTCTGACAGGCGGCGAGTATCGTGTATGTTTCGTAAATTATCTCCGAGTTTTGTGTTGTTCCTCAGAGTTTTCTGTAACTCAGTTATCTTTACTAGTTTACCATGAAAGCTTTGCCTGGCACATTGACATAGTACAAGGCGAGCGGACGGCAGTATTCTCTAAGTCACAACGGTCACTGGCACCAAGTGTCAAGCCGTCAGCCAATGTCATAAGTCAAACGTAGCCCCGACTCTAGGGCCTACCGTAAGTTACATACTATTTACTTATGCCACGTCGACATCAACAAACATCTCTTGTCTTCAAGTTTTCCCCTCATCTTCCTCTCCCGCCCGTTCGTCTCGTTGCCATTTCCATCCCCCTCTCAACTTTTGCCACTTCACTGTCGTTTGTGCTCACTGGCAGTTCCTCCCTTGACGTCTTTCTGTGCTGAATCGCACTTCAGATGACCAGGCAACACACTCCCCCCGATGCCAGTCGCGAGTAAGAGGCTGCGGGTATATGACTGACACATGCCCTACGGTGCGTTGTTTCTATTTGTTCGTTCTGTGGCTTACATTCTACATGGCCAGGTCACGGGTTTTTCAGAGCCACTTGCAATGGGCTGCTCGCTTTGCTGGCTGGCGCACTGCTTCAAGAATCACATACGTACGTGTGCATACTCTGCATTTTTATATACTCCATGCGTGCAGATTATACATGGCTGCTCCTATGCTCGCTGGCCATCGCCGCCATGTCGAACATCTCCTGCGCCCACGCCGCCCCACCGCCCTGTGCCAGTGCCAATCGCCGTGTGCTGGTGCACGTTGTCTGGCGTAGAGGTACGTTCTTCTCTTCCCGTCTAACTGCTTGCTAATCACCTCGTTTCCAGCCTTCAAGTTGCGTCCGCAATAAGTAATCTATATTCGTAGCTACACAAAGAGTCTAAGACTGTAGTTGGATCAATAATACTGTGCTCCCCTCCTCTTTTGCGTGAACTTTTGAGCAACTCGTGATTAACTCCGAGACCTCCTTCCATCGACCTTCTGCACTTTTTCACCTCTCGGAAGGAGATGAACCTCCCTTTAGAAGTTGCAAAAGGACTTCCGCACTTTCTGCAACTTCTTGCACCTTTTTCGACCTTCTTCTGCTTTTGGAAGCAGAAAAAGGTGCGAAAGGATTTTTGTCATTCTGCTGATGATGACCATCCACGGGGTACTCATTAAGAGCATCGTAATCCAAGACAACATCAAAGTACAGGGGATTGTTGAGTTTCAACCACTGGAGCGCCCGAAGAATATGGCCACGCCGAGCAAGAAGAGGTGTCCGCTCAAAGATGTTTGCCGTGGCTTCCTGGTCATCATGATCGGACACGAAGATAACACAGATCTCGTCATACAGTGTAGACATTGGACGTGGAAGCACTGTTGCGAGTTCGGAAATTTCATGAGGATGCACACACACATTCCCATGTGCAGCTCTTTGGGCGAACGGACCAGATGCGGCACCAGATGTTATGCGTGCCCAGCATTTCGTACTATGTGCACGTGCAATAACAAGCTCCTCCGCGTATGGGAGAGATTGTAGCTCCGGAGGGACCAGTCCGATCCAACAGCCATTCGCCCAACTGAGCATTGGCAGTGACACAAATTTTCCTCGGGTGATACACTCGGTGCACGATGCGCAGCATTGATAGCGCCCATTATATAAAGTGTGAGACTGTATAGCCGGTTGATGTTGTGCGGTACGAAGATAACTGACAGCAGCGTCTAGAATTGTGATGTCGAGGTCCTGGGTGTCGAAGCATTTCAGCTTCACGCTGAGCTCGTTGCGATTGCAAAAAGAGCAAGGCCCTCGACTGAGCCTTTCGGCAGAAGTTTGCTTTCGATGTTCACGAATAATCTGGCCGGTATAATCAGCAATGAACTAATATCCAAGCGTGGGTGAGGACTTGCCTGCTTCAGTGCCTCACTAGACTCCTCCTGCGGCCAATTCATGTGCCACCATTCAATATCTGTGCTGTCTTTGGCAATTGCACGAGCAGTGGCTGCTGCTCTCCGTTGTGACCGATCTGATGCCTTCTGTGCATCTGTAAAAGGGTGTGACAAGCCCGATGGGCCCGATGGGCGCGGCACAGGAGGTACCCGCCGTGGTGGATGCGATGGACGCAATATGGGAGCGCGGTCGAAATCTTCAGTCCGCTGCAGAGAATACATCATCACCCCAGCTGCTGCTGCATCAGCGGCTCGAACCAGGCAGTTCCATTGACATGTATGTTCTCGCATTAGCGTTATGAGGGTGTCACGTTTACATCTTTTCACATGATGTTCCGCGGCAACCGTAAAAACCGCGCTTGCGGTGGCACGGGTTTTGTGTTCCAGAGTCGTAGCAAGGAGATGCTGCATTGTTCGTGTCTTCTGTTCATCATCTAACTCAGCATATATAATTCGAGAATCGCTCAAACCTGCACAGAGTCAGAAGAAGTGGCAAGAAACAAAGCTCAACGGTACCAGATGTCGAGACAGGCTGCAGAATATCATCTGAATCATGGCTCATATTCAGCGGTCGCGCTTTATCCTTCTCTTTTCCCTTCTTTGATCGCTTATGTGGATGTGCATCGGAGTCCGGTGATATTGCGAACTCATGGAGGTCGCGTGCAAACAGTGTATCACCTACTGCAAGTTCATAATCAACACACATTCCTGTCACTACATCCTGGGGGAGTGATGCATCACTTACTCTCAGGAGAGATCCGCCACCATGCATCAGGATCTCTCGCGAGAGATGCGGCATGATGTATCAGACGAGAGTACGAACCTTTTAGGGTTATATTCCCAAATACACTAACTCTACAAAAGTAATGTCACATGGGTTTTTCATTGTTTCTTCGCCGATTTTCGGTGTTTTTGGGTCGGGTCAAAAACTGACAGTGTTGAGAGAGACGAGGGGAACATTTTGAAACGGTTGACGGCATCAAGAGCGCTTGATGCGCCATCACTATGGCCGAAAGCAAAAAAAACACGATTTTTCACCCCAAGAGAGAGTATATTTTCGAGCATCTCTTCATGCTCAAGATGTGCACTGAGATGTTGTGAGTAAGATCCCAAGTTGTTTGAGGCAAAAATATACAGGCGTTGGCTCACTGTGCCCCTCGCAAAATCCACATTTTTGTACATTTTTGGCATTTTTGGCCCAAATCAGCCGAAAATGTCCGTTTTGTCGGTCGATTATCTCCATATTGCCTGTATATTCTTGCCCAATTCAAAGCAGGGGATGCAAGAGGACCTCACGGGCTACAATTCGGAGTGCTTGACTCGGTCTCAAGAGTGCCACGAAAGGCATTTTAAAATTGCAATTTTGAATTTCTTCTGTATTCGAGCCAAATTGATGCCGGAACGGCCCATTTTGATCCGGTAACTGTGTCAAGGCTCTCCGCCAGGTTCTGCTCTACAGCCCTGTACCTTGTTTGGAGGGAAAACATGCACTCAATGGAAAGATATGAGCTCAAACTTCATGTGACATTACTTTTGTAGAGTTAGTGTACAGTCATTAACCGGGAAGCGAAACAAACCGTGAAGCGAAACGTCATGTGTTTTGCATCATGTGAGCAACCCCCAGGGCCTAAATTTTTTGAGCACATTCTAGAGTATCCAAAAACCAGATTTTCAAAAGGAACTGTGCAGGTAGTGGTTCAAGAGCTCAAGAAAAAGAAATCTTTTGAATCACTGTTTGGCTCAGTTTTGTTGCCAATATTGCGATTGAGCAGCCACTATCCCTGACTGCTGTGCAGAAATTACACGATTATGGCATGTATTGGGGGTTTTCTGGGTCGTAGAATTAGAATATGACCACCACAGGACCTCAAAGACCCTCCATTGCACCGATTTTACTGTCGTGTTTCGCTTCGTGGTTTAAGGCACAAGTTGATGGTGTCAATAATTGTGCCTGTTCTCCATTAATACTGAAGGGATTCAGTCCAACTTTGTGATATCCAGGGAGCCAATTAGTATATGCATTGAGCGAAAAAAAAGTTTGGGTGATTATCACTTTTCATCACGGAGAAAAAGCCCGTATCCCTTGAGCGTTCCGCTTCCCGGTTAACGACTGTAGGTTATATCAGCCCACATAAAAAAGTAGCACCAAGGAGAATTGAACTCATGGCCTCTGGTAAAGATCACATGACTATAGCAGGAGCATTATCCAACTGAGCCATAATGGCATTATCCAAAAAGAAATTGATTTGAATATATCCACTATCATCTATCTTACCACACTAGCTGGTTAGGTTGGTTAGGGTTCTTTTTGGTGAGGTTGGTTAGGGTATCAACAAAGACCTAGGGCAGGCTTGCCTGCCTTAGGTCTTTGTTGTCTCCAGGTAGGGTAAGGGCACCTTACCCTAGCTGGGGGGTATCTTAGATTATAATTAAGTAATATTAGAGGTGTTATATAATGATAAATAATTCATCTAGTATCAATGCCTGATGGTGTAGTGGAATAATATGTGTGCAACTATTAATTTGATCTGGGTTCTCCAGAGGTGATGGGTTCTCCAGAGGTGATGGGTTCAACTCCCGTAGGTGGCACTTGTTTTGATTCCTTTGTATTTTCTGATATATCATCCCAATAAGGAAGTTAGATGCCTGGATGCTGTATCTCTCGCGAGAGATCCTGATGCATGGTGGCGGATCTCTCCTGAGAGTAATGTGATATATCAAAACCCCACATAGGCCTGTTCCTGTATATGCACATCAGTCATGTTTATGGGTGTGGGTGGACGTTTCACATACCGTGAACAGTGCAGAATGAGATATTTATGTCTCCAGTATTATGGGTACACTGTAGTCCGTTTTCCTGCCATTCGCATTGCCGGAGACCGTGAACATGGACCGGCTCTGATTGAATCGGTGTGGATGAGGAGGCAGCTGAATTTTCGAAATAATCACAACTGATGGTTGTGTGGTAGCTACGCTTTCCCAACGAGGACGATCCCGAAGGGACAGATGCACAGACTACAGCACGACCACAGGATGAAAAGAGCAAGCAGTAATTGGGAAAGTGGTAGTGTTCGGGTCTTCTGCCGGTGTATGTACTGTGCAGCAGAGGGGTATGTGGTGCTGGAGGGACATATCCACTAGAAGAGGCTCAGTCGATTCCATTGCCTAAACCCCAACAGTACGTACCTGTATCTTTGACCAAACACTGGGGGCAAACCAGACATTTCAAAGGAACGAAATACAACTGATGCAAATATGAGACAAGCAGCCAACCTGTTAAGGAGGAGCGTACCAGCAACTCGCTTCCAAAACAGCCACGATATCGTGAGGTCCTTCCTGCGTGCACTCCTCCGGTTTTGCAGCATTCGCTGCCGACGGGCAGTGCGGTTGTGGAGAACATGATGGTTGACTGCGATCACAACAGATGGATTTGGTGCTAAAAAACAGTTTACAAATTTGTGTACCGGTCAAAGTAGCACATACATTTAGTCCAATTACGCCAAACTTTAGAGACAAGCAGCTTCAACCATTCAAATATTGACCTAAGGTATTCATCAGCGTCGAGAAGCATCACTGCGTTCCAACCCCCCGTAGACCGACCCTCGTCTACCTTCGCTTACCTGAATCTACGCTGTGGTGACGTGCAGCGACATGCGGCGACATGAGGCTACGCACGGCTACCTGTTTGTACGCCATGATGTCTGGGGAGCTTCGCTTACGTGAATCTACATGCCGTCTACATGCCGTACACGAACCGTCGGCTACATAAGTCAAGGTGCGTATACGTCGTCGACACACTTAGACAGACTTAGACACACCTCGACTTAAGGCCATTTCGACACTGTCAAATCCGTGCCAGCAAGAGTTAAGGAGAGACTGGTCCACGAGTGATGTGGTCTCGAACCAGGGTGTGACATCATGCTCGCGGCAGAATTACATAATCTGATGTGTGGCAAATGGACCGATTAACCGAAGTTGGGGCACCAAGTTGGGGCACCGAGTTGGGTCCAAGTTGGATGTCGAGTCGAGGGGTTAGGTACGACTTGACATCCAACTTGGACCCCAACTTGATTTCTGCCCCAACTTGGCCTCTAAGTTGGGGTTCGAGTTGGGGTCGGAGTTGGGGTCAAATCGGAGATGTCTGAAACACCCTATTCATGTCAGGCTCAAAAATTAGCGTGTGTAGACCAATGGACCTTCCGACAAGGCAGCGACAATATGCTTCCATTGGGCGGGGCCCTGCTCCGTGAGTACTTGATTTTAGATGATTTTCACCACTGTAAATTGTGCACAGGACATGGCCGGTCGATGCCGACCAACCCCGCTGGTTTGCCTGGCAACCCCACGGCTAGCATGCAGCCTCCTGATTGTCGGTCGAGATCGCAGCCGTTAAACGGTTACGACGTTTCTGGCGCTGATGCGCCAATCCGGATGGGTGATCTCGAGGTCCTTCTCGAACGAATGTCGATGCGGCAGGACGAGCGTCACCGGGAGCAAACCCTAGAGCTTCAGGAACAAACTCGTGGGCTCCAGGCGCGTTTGAGCTCTCTCGAAAAGCACTTCGAGCCTTCATTTTCCAGTTCAGGACATGGTCCCGCGACACGGGGCAGAAAGCAGGTCATGCGGACCCGCCAGCGCGCCTCGCGTTCAGAGCTCGATCAGGGTCGTACAAATGAAGCTGTTGATTCGCAGAATGAGGACGAGGAGGGCAACGAGGGCAACGAGGGCGGGGATGAAGAAGAGCCGTCGAAATTGCAGAAGAAGGAGAAAGCTAAGCACCAGGCTGCAATCCAGGTTCGTCGCCATCCATGTCGCCATTCCCCATCCATGTCGCTATTCCCCAACGGTATTGATTGTCGCGACAGAAATACAGCACCCAAATCTTCCGCGGCGCGTGCGGTGTGAAGGGCAAAGATTGGCCAGATCCCGACGACGTTCGAATCAATCCAGCCACCGGGGTCAACATCAGGAAAATCTAGATCCGGTAATTGGCGACAATTGTTGCCAATTGGTGACAATTGGTGACAATTGTCGAATTGTCTGATAATCTAAGTGTCTGGAGTCGACTCCCAATTGTCAACAATTGGAGCGCATTATCAAGGATTTTCACTGGATTATGTGAGAATAATGCCAATTGCATGAATTTTTCAACGGGTTAACAACACAATAACGAAAAAATGTGATGTATTACTTAAGCATACTACATAAAACTACAAACAACGGCTCGAGACAGCTACAGGCATTATAGGAACCTCTAATGTTGCCGCGACTCCGAGTCGAAGTCATCTTGAGCTCGAGTCGCCAAAGTCGATCGACTCGGCTTGACTCGACTCAACTTCCAGTCAACTTCGACTCGGAGTCGACTCGAGTCGACTTGAGTCGATGAAGTTGGGTCCAAATTTTTAAAAGTGTATGGAATGAGCTGCATAGACACTACAAATAGCTAGAGTAGCAAGAAGCACAATATCAATTTAATTCATCAGAGCTTCGGGCATCTCGAAGTAAAGGCCGTCAGCGAGCACACTTTCATCATTTATCTCTCTCCGAATGTTATCCTGCTCGTAGCATCGTCCTCCGCACCCAACTTACGCAGCCAGTCCTCCTCTGGGTCGAATTCAGGCGGTGAACGCACCTCTGCCATGAAATCAAGACACATCTTTTTAAATGTAAACTTGAGCATCTGCAACGCTTCCATCAGCAGTGGGCCGATACGGTTTCGTCGTTTCGTGTCAGTCTGGGCAGAAGACGAGAAAACACGTTCGGAAGGAACAGATGTTGCTTGCGCTGGCGCGAAATCCAAAAACATTTGATAAATGCGGGGCCATGTGAGGTGGCCAACAGTCTGTGAAAGACAGTGAGCCAGCTCGGAAGAATTAAAGGAGTCTGACGCACCGTCCACCAAACAATCATGTCCGTCGAAGCTCGCGGCGGAATAACACTGGAAATGTAGTTATTCAGCTCGGCCTCGGCAGACCATTGAGCAGTCTGATTGCTACTAGCCGCTGTTGAGAAGTCAAGCGCGTTAGCGCCAGAGCGGAAGCGGGTGGCGACTCTTGACAGCTCAGCTGCAGCGGGAGTTGGCTGCGAATGTGAGGGCTGAAGCGGTTCAGCCTGAGTTCCGGAATCCGAGTCCGCCGGTAGCGAGTATTTGTTAAGCTGTAATCATTAGCTCGCTCAATGACTGGCGAACTCGAACTCACCCGCGCAAGTATCTTTGTCTTCGCTGCCCTCTGCTCTGAGGCTGACCAGTGTTTGCGCATCCACTCCAAACGAATTGAAGGGTTGATGACTGGAGAACGAATGAAGTTAAGCAAATAAGGAGTTAGCAACGTACACATGGCAATGATATATGCATCCGTATCATCGAATTTGTTGTAATACTTTTCGGCGATCGCAAGGCCGGCGTCAATGAGGTGCGAAATGTTCATCCCAGAGAGAACGGGATCGACCTTCATCGCTTCCCATGAGTTGACGAAAAGCTCGAAAGCAGGAATGGTTGCTGCGAGCATCGGAGTGTTTTCAGCTGCCATGACAGTTTGAACAACGTGTGGTTGCTTGAAAAGACATACGTATGAGCAGACGGAAGATACAACAGCACAGGCACACACCTCAAGAATCAATTCCATTAATTCAAGGCGCTCCCAGTGCTCATTCGTGAGCGCATGCTTGAAGCCCCACGCATCCCGCTCGAAGGTAAAGAATTGTTGGACAGGCTACAATGGTATGTCAGTACGAACACAACCAGAACTCGAAAAACATACCTCGCGTAAATAGCGGAGCCGCCGCAGCATGTAAAATACAGAGTCCCAGCGCGTCCTCACATCGGGAAGGAGGACCACCGGCTTGAGGAATATCACTACCTTCGTGCCATCACCGCTGATTTGCGACCACTGCTTGGCCGCATTGCCTCGCTCGATGATCGTGACAAGCCGATCGCGACGCTGGCCAGACTTTCTAATAAAGCCAACAGTCTTGCGTGCGCGAAGGATGGGGCCCGCCTTGCGTGTCGTGCGACGGCCGACTGTCTGCGTCACCTCTGCGTCCGCGACTGTCTGCGTCGCCTCTGCATCCGACTCGTCCGAAGCCGTGCCATCTTCGGTTTCAGTGTCTGAGTAGTGGGGTGCGGCGTCGTCCTTTTGCATGCCCTTGATGACGGCCTGGGCACAGAGGTTGATAATGTGAGAAAAACAACGGATAAAGTTGTTTTTTGCGTCGAAGTCGTAGT